CCCCCCCCCCCCCCCCCCACTGCTGTCAAGCCTCAGCATTACTATGCACAGGTGGCGCCCCCTGGTGAAGCTGGTGCCACGAGCTCAGCGCCGCTGGGAGAGCTGGGATCTCGTGTTTGGCACAGACTGTCCTGGCGAAGGGTGGCAGAAGCTGGGCTGGGAGACGAGTTGAAAACAGAAGGTCAGACCCCCCCCGTGAAACATCTCTCTGAAAGCTTCAAGAATAAGCGGGAGGCAACATAAAACCCATTCTGTGACGCACGCCATTACGCGCCATGCGTAATGAGTGTGTCGGCATAAGTAAGAGTCGCTATTTCAGATAGAATCAGAGATGGTGGGGGGGATTTCCGGTGTGTGTGTTCCCCCCCCCCCCCTCACTGCAGCAGTCCTGTGACAGTGTCTGCAAACCGGTGCCGGAGAATAAGCGGATTTCTCACTCGCTACCAGAATAACTCCTGCAACCTGAGTGCTAATGGAGACTAAACAGATGCAGATCTGGTGTGGTGATGTCATCATTATGCGCCACGACACGCCCGCCCTGTTCCTCCTAACTGAGGGGAAGCAGATTAAGGTGCCATGGATTCAGCTCAGGTTTATCCGGACTGTCATTCGTTTAACCGAATCAAACCCCGATGGGCAGGAAGACCATCCTGCTTACGGTAAAAACAAACGATCTGACCTTTATCCTTAATGCTCTTCTGGGCAAGCAGCGGTACACGCTGCTATTCTTCTAGAACATTCTGTCCCTGTATTTATGGACCATACAGAGAGCAGCCACTTTTTGTCCCGTTTGCGAGGAATATATTATTGAGGCTATTTGAAAAGTGGTTCCTCTTGTCACAACATCTCCAGCAGACACTGTGACCTTCTGACCCGAGACATGCCATCATCCCAGGAAGACCCTCTCTGTAGGCCCAACATTCTGTGAGGCCCCACGGTGACCTGCTTTTCTTACCTTGTCCTCCAGATGATTTGGTGTTTCCAGTTGTGGCTCCAGATCCTTGTCTCTGCAAAGCAAACAAAAACTTTCAAACCATAAATAAAACATTAAAAGCCAAAACCAGAGCCTATGAAGATGAAGACATCAAGCCAGCGAGGTCAGTGTGCCTGTCCCTGAGGCTAACCCCGGATGGCAGCTAGGGGGCGCCGGTTGGAGAACAAAACCAGCCTGGCTGAACAACCACCTACTCTCTGTTAGTTTCACCTGGCCGTTTTACCCGCCCCAGGTCCTGCTTAATGAAGTGGGCCTCTAATGAACTTCCAGAGAGTGTGCTTTGATGCTAACCCTGAATGGCTCGTTAGGGGACCAGAGTGTGGAAAACCGACGCATTTAACGATTCGGCTGCTCCAAGGACTGGCTGACCCTGCTAAATAAAATGAAATGACTAGATATATTCTGCCCACCTGGTATCTGTGCTACAAAGCTGCCCTTTCCGAGTCCCTGCCTATAGGCTCATCCCGCACTTCCATTGTTTGGCCAGCAGGTGGAGTAGTGGTTAAAGCATCTGATTCTGCTTCACTGAGCAGGTCCCCCTCCCGTGCTGGGCTACGTGGGTGTCGCTAGGCCGCAGAGGCGTAACAAGGACTCCCTAAATGGCGGCCCGCAGACATCAAGCCGTGATGTGTTTATCCATGAGTCATGCAGCCCGAGATAAACAGTCTGCCAGGTATAGCAAGTCTATCTCTTAGCGATGGACTCCGGGTGGGGGGGCGGGATGGCAGCCGGCCTGACGGGGCGGAGCCTTCCCCCGGGGGCCTGCAGGTTTATAGTCCCGCCTTCTCCAAACTGCGGCCCAGTGTGCTGCACGTGTGAGACTCGGTGAGTAATGCAGGGTGAACATAGTCAGGCGCTGCTCATGCGACGACTCCGGCGACCATTACTCCGGCGACCATTACTCCGGCGACCATTACTCCGGCGTGTCCTATACTTGCTGGAGCAGGAACTCGTCCCAGCGCCACACTCAGGTCGGACTGAGGGAGGCGGGGCTTTTTTTTTGTCTTTTTATCGCTTCTCCTGAGCCCTGCCATTCCGCCGACCCCCCCCCCC